CGCGCCCCCCCCCGGACCGCCCACCCGCCTCTCCTCGTCGTCCCTCGCCTGGCGGGCAAAGCCGGGAACGGACGAGCTCCGTCGGCCCCAGGAGGAGGACAGCGAGAAGGGCCCGCTCGGGGAACGAGATAGGCCGGGGAGGCGAACGGAGCCCGCTCCGGGCGAAGCGGCGCGAATCGAAACACCACTCCAAGCCAGGGCGGGGAACCGCTGCCGGTAGCTCCCACCCCTCCAGCAACCACATGCCCAACAGCGGTACCGAACAACCCGCACACTCCCCACCTCCCCTCACCACAACCCCGGCACCAGAGCTCGCCCGCCCGTGTTTACCTGGCCGCCATCTTGGCACCGCCGGAACACCTCGCCCCCCCATTGGACTCTGTCCCGCAGCCAATCAGCGGGCGCTTTGCTGCCTTGGGCCCGGCCTCTCTGGTCTCCAGGACAACCAGGCAGGGCGAGTGGCCTGTGCTGGGGCGCCGGTTCCGGCGGGGAAGGTGCTGCCTTACCGGGCAGGGGGTCCTCCCCTGGGGGCCGCTCTGGGGGATCAGAGCAACTTGCTGGCACCCAGGAGGGCTTCGGAAGGGTCTGAGGGCCCAACGTGTGCGAGTGAGGTGGTTTTGTCAGAATTAACAGCAGTGTTATGGAAGAAAGACAGGTGACAAGTGTTACAGTAATCCTAGTTACCAGGAAGGAGTATAGCATCTATTCCAAAAGTAAACCTCGTAATTTATATAATGCCTAACTATGGGACAGAATGACCAGGGTCAGCAACCTTCCTCTTCGAGGCTGGAAAAATAATTATAAAGTTTCCACTAGTGTCTTGGATTCATGTGGTAAAGAGAAACCCTCAACAATGCTGGTCTCAAATCTTGCAAGGTTGGTTGCTGTGGATTATCATCCAGCACCAGAGCTCGTGTTTTCCTTAAACTGCTCCAAGAAGTGGGAAAGCTCTTACAAAGTCATCAGGAATTCTGAGCCAAATAGCACCGTGCTAGGTGCTTCAAAGGTGAACAGAAAGGCTGCGCAGAGCAGTCAGCAAAGGGCTTGCTCATTTGGCAGATTCTGTAACACCTTGTCCTTTCTGCTTTCATAGCAGAGACAGATGAAATAAACAAGAGGTTAGGAGCAGCCTGAATATGATTCAGTGAGAACATCTTGCATCTGAGGAGCAACAGGAAGGGAGGAACAGAGAAACTGCAAGAAAAAGATGAAGGGATAAGGCTGACGTTGCTGGCACTGAAATGCATCTGAAAGATGGGAGGTTTCATGGTTGAAATCATCTGTAAGAAGATGCATTGTTGAGTGATGATTTTACAGGTTGAAATCTAAATATTGGTATCAAGGCTTCTGAGAAAGGAATTGCTGACTCCAAATCCTGACACAACCCAGTTGTGGACAAACAGTTCAGCTATGAGGGGAATGAGAAAGGGGCAGGAGTTGAAGTGCTATGAAGATGGACAGTAAGAAGTATAGCTTTGAGTAGGAATTTAGTGGTGGATCACAGCTTCAGGGATTGGCTGTGCACGAAAGGAAAAAATAAACACCTTCCTCATGGACATAAAACAGATCTTCAGATTCATTTCCTTTTTATGCCATAAGTTTGCATCCTCAGATTCATTTCTAAAATCAATTAATTCCGTAAGTAATCACTTTTTCATGAACTACATGTAAATTTCACACTCGGCTTGCTAACTAGATTTTCCTCTCATCTGGGAAATCAATTTTTAAGAGATTTATTTTATTTACACTTAATAATTGATTGTATTTGGTATACAGATAAGTCGTAATTGATAAATGTATTGATATTGGATATTCATTGCTATCTGTTCTAGCAAAATGTTAGACCAGTAGACTGCATGACATTTTCTTAATGTGAGCTAATTTGAGAACACTCAAAAAATTGAACGATGTATGACATCTTTATGACCTGTAAATTTATGTTTGGCAGGGATGCATTTTCAGAAGGCAAGTTTAATTTCGTGTCACAATTTGTGTCCAAATGTTGTTCTTATTTAGTATCCGCAAGCCAATTTGTGGCACAAATTGGCATTGGTAGTGCACACAAATGAAGTACTCAAATGTTCACCTGCATTTCATTTTATAATTGCAGATTCGTTGTATTTGTAATTAAACCAAATTTCAGGACAATCTCCACAACAAATTCTGACTTCTCACTGGTGCTTTGTTGAGAAAACAAGTGGAAAGAGCTCCTCCATGGCTTTCAGCAATCCAGAAGCATTTGTACTTCAAAGATCAGTGACTACTGAAGCTAGAAGACAGATTGTTGGATACTTAAAAGAATGTGCAACTTACCGTTTTGGTTTTGGGTTTTTTTTGTTGAAACAATGTATAGTCTTTTTATCTGGGGAAGAAGGAAGACAGCAGCACACCCTTGTAACCAACACTGGTGTTCCTACATCATATCTGTGAGGGCTGCTATTGTGCCCAAAACTTGATTCAGTGTTGAATTCATTTCATGCCAATTTTCTGTTCCCTGTCGAGCAAATATTCATATAATCTGATTTATTTCCTTTTGGTCAACTGATCTAACTTCCTTTCTCACTTGAACTCCTGTCCTGGAGACCTGCCAAGCAATGATTCTCATGAATGAAACAAGTCATGCCTCTGAGATTCCCATGGGACATCAAACTAGTGCAACACAGTAATTACAGGTTAGATGTTCTTGATGCTATTATTAAAAAACCACCTGAACTTTAGAAGGAAGGCCTACTGTAATTAGATGTAACATCAAGTTTAGTTTGGATCTTTCAAGATCTTTATGAATTTTCAGCTTCTAGGTGATTTTCTCTACATATCTTTTCACTACCTTTACCTTCTACTGTTGGATATTTACAGATACTACTTTGAGTCCCAGTTGTTATAATTTACTTTGCCAGATGTATTGTCTTTGTGACAACATGAATATGAGGTTCCTGTTATGGGGAATCTCTGTAGGACAAAGCACAAGGTCTGCTCAGGAATTGAAAACAGCAGCCTTGGGGTTGGTCATTCTGTTGTTGTTGTAAAGTAACCAAGTATTAGTGTACAGCACTATGGTACTTCTTGTTCATGCTGTCCTGAGGTAGTCTTAAGTTTGTTTGAGAAGAGGATATCCTGCATTCATTTGGGTAGCCAATCTCTGCTCTGGTGCTACTTTTACTCCTGGTACTGTTTAGGATGGATCTTCGTACCACCTCCACCACATTTGGTGTCAATACACTATGTCGTATCAAGCCTGAACAGAACATTTTTCCACACCTTTGCTTGTTTTCATGTAGCAGTACTGAAAGAGGGAGTGCTGCTGGTTCCTGGGTAAAAAAGTACTGATTATGATCTACAAAACTCAGCTTTGCATGGATTCTTTTTGAAACACTCTCTTAATGAGTAGCTGTAACAGAAGTGGTCAAATTTGTCCGATACCAGAGTAGCTGGTACATGAGAACACTGTGTACATGCCTGGTCCCCACAGCAGGTTCTCACAGTGGGATTCTCCTCTTTATTAGCTGTTTCTGGTTTTTTAGCAGTAAATGAGAACGTCAGAAACATTTTCTTAAGCATGGAAACATACTGCATTTTATCTGTTTGAAACAGTGTTTTGGAAATACGTCAAAACGATCAAGAACTGAATTCTTGTTTAAGCACAATAGGAAGGCCTTATTGTATTAGCAGATTACTGTCATTGTGTTAGTATACTATCTACCTTGTATTCATTTTTGCTAACATAATGAGAAATTTTTCTAGCATGATTATATTTTAATACAGTAAAATAGTGTTGGAAAGGAAAATTAATATGATTTTAAAGAGAGATGTACAGACAATAAAATAACCTGGTTTTTACCTCAACTTTTAATTTGTTGCTAACTTAAAAAAATACTTTTATTAATCCTATAAAATAATTATATTCAAATGAGTGTTGAAAGTCAGTTAAAAGGATTACAGAGGGGTTTTCTTCCACGTACTGTGCCATTTAAGAACCAAATTAATTCTTGCTAAACAAACATTACAAGAACCATCATAGAGAAAATTAATGGAAATCTCCAAAGAACATTATCTAAGACCGTACATTAAAGTATATTAGTAAATATTCTATAGTATGTATTGTACGTAGTAATGATGTTTTGTAATTTGAGCTCTCTTTACCTCATTCAAAGTAAGACCTTAATCCAGGCAGGCCCTTGTCTGAGCCCTGATCGAAAGCCCGTTAAAGTCCGTGGAAAGATTTCCATTGGCTTCATTTAGGTTTGGATTAGGCCAAGAGTGTGCAGCAGAGGGCACAGAGCTGTTTCACTGCAGCACAAGTTGGCTGCATGTGCATGCAGTTGGGTTTTGTACCAGAGATTGTCTTCTGTCAATTGATCTAAGTCCTCATGTTCTCATTCCCGTGTTCTCAAGGACTCTAAGCAAAATGCAACAAAGATTAGTACTCTGAACAAAAATGAGCTTGAGTATAATCCCCCGTGTACAGTTGAGAAGCCTTGCTATGTGCTCACTTCCTAGCCCTTGTGCCGCTGCTAGCCAAGAGCTCCATGGTCAGTCTTTGTTATGCTTCTGGTTGCTTGTTTGAGAGCACCACATAACTGAACCAC